AAATTGCAAGAGTATCAAATTTCAAATATATAGTTATAGCTCGAAAGCAAAGAGCTTTAGAGCTATAAAACTAGGCCACCTATAAGTAAAATTAAGTGTAGAACAACTTTACTTAGGCAGCCAGAAATGGTTTACTTAATAAAATTTTGAGAAATTAGCAATTATTTTAAAAAAAATTTGGTACAAGTGATCGTCAGGAAGAGTTAGTGATTTGCGTCCATAAATTTATATATATAATTCAATATTTTTAATAAACAATGCAACTTAACTTCTTTCAAAAAATCATGAAACTTAACTATTTTCAAAAAATTATGATATCTATTAGAATTGAATAGAGTACATGCTACTGGATAATTAAGGTTATTATACAACTTCTAGTCAAGTGGCTTTTTTTTAGTAATTTTGTTAATTTATTAATTGAATTACAAGTAGATTTTCATATCCACTCACAATAAAGTAATTTTTTTATGACAGGGTAAATCCTGTGCTATGAATTAGTAAAATCTGCTATGTAGATCACATGAGGGTGAAATTCGCTTTTGCATAATAAAAAATATTGCTAAGCGTAGATTTCACCTTAATGTAATCTATGTAGCAGGTTTTACTAATTTACAACGTGGGTTTCATAAAGTCCTATCTTTATTTGATATTTCAATGTTAATACATTTATTACTCAGTACTATTAATGAAAATATATATATTAACGAAGTTAAATTCCAAATAAGCAAAAAATGATTCAACCTTTTGAATAAATTTACCAGAATTTTTACTTCTACTGACCCACCTTGCGAATTAAATCTAATATGTGAATACAGAATACTTTTAATAGGAGGCATGCAATTCCTTAAAATGTTTACAATTATTAGATGAGTTAACAAAACACGGCTATTAAAGATTTGAAAATGATAGATCATATTTCATTACAAAATTATGATGCAATTATTACCCGTGGATTTTGGTTTTTTTTTAATATTATGAAAATTAAATTCTATAAAATTAAATAAAACATTACTTACAAATTTTTAGTTTCTTGCTTATATTTTCCTAAAAATGATATCTACATTATCATCACTCCAACCTATTTTATTTAATGAAGAAAATTGCACCAATTTCTTATTTAATAAAGAGATACTTTATGAACAGCCCGATTGTAATATATGTAGAGCTAGAATGTTAAGGTATAGCAAAATCTTCAAATGCAGAAGAAAATGGTGCAGGAAAGCTGTGTCATTTTTTAAGAATTTATTTTTTGCTAAAGGCCAATTGAAGGCTAATGAAGTCCTTCTAATCAACTATTTATGGCTTTCTAAAGCACCACATAATTCAATTATAGCCATCACAGGCCATTCACCAAATAAAATAACTGAATATATCAGTTATTATAGGTCTTTTTTTTTTAAAAAAAAAAAATTTCTTGCCAACTAGATAAAAAATTTTCCTATAGACGCCTGTTGGCTTTGATGTTCGAGAAACTCAAAACAGAATTGAGGGCCCAAATATTGTAGTAGAAATAGATGAGTCGAATTTCGGTAGGAGAAAATACAATTGCGGCCATCGTGTTGAGGGAGTTTGGGTCTTTGGTAGTGTAGAGAGAACTTCAGAGAGAAGAATTTTTGCAAAAGCTGTTGATGATAGAACTGCTGAGACCCTACTTTCTATAATTAAAAAAAATATTGATTCCAGGTCTATTATTTATTCAGACCTGTGGCGTATTTATAGGAGAATAGGCTCTGATTTAGAAATTCGGCACCAAGTAGTAAATCACAGCTCAAATTTTGTTGACTCTAGTACAGAAATCTATACGAACACGATCGAAGGAATCTGGAATGGTATTAAAATTCAGGTTAATAATTTAGTTGATTTAAATTTTTTTAAATAAACCATTGAATGTCTACTTCAAAATTTTTAATAAATTAAAAAAAAAAAAATACCTACTGGTATTTTTGCCATAAAAATTTGCTCATATAGGCTGGTTGTTGAAAGTTTACATTTTTTTAATTAAATAATTTTTGATCTTCTGGTCTGTTTTGAATATAACAAACCAAAATGTTCATCTCAATAGTTATTCTATTTAAAATAGACTATTAGATCAAATTTTATTCAAGATTAAAAAAATGTAAAATTCCAAAAATAAGCCTATATATATTTCCACCACAGATAGTAATTTTTTATTAAAATTTTTTTTTTAATTTAGATTTCATCAAGAAATCATACAAGGTCTAGAGTTTCAGACCATTTGTTTGAATTTATATGGCATCAGCAGAACCAAGAAAATCTTTGAAAAAAGATGTTGGAGTGTATGAAGAATATAGGATATTTTGAAGATAAAGAGGACGAAGGAGAAAATGAAGAAAGCGATGAAGAGGATAAAGGAGAAGAGTATGGAGAAAATGAAGAGAGAATGAAGAGAAAGACAAGCATAATGATGAGGATAAAGAAAATGCAAGAGTAGAAAATAGAGAAGAGGGTGAAAATGATGATAATAATAATGAGAATAATAAATAGGAAGAGGATGAGGATAGAGATGATGATGAAAATGATGATAGTAATAATGGGAATAATGAGAATAAAAGCGAAGATGAGGATAGAGTATATAGTGATAATGAAAATGATGTTAGTGATAGTAAAAATGAGAATGAAAATGAAGACGTGAATAGAGAAAATGGTGATGATGAAAGTGACAAAACTATGGAATCTTTGCTTTGAAAATTATATTATGAAATATAGTAAATCATATTCCCATAATGTGATTTTTAAGGCAAAGACCCATATATTATTATAAATATTATTTTTTAATATTATTCACTTACCATAAGCATCAGTAACTATCTAACATTAACCAATCATTAATTCATTATCTGTTAAATAATTATAATTAATACTAAACAATAAATAAATTAATTTTATTTATCAAAACTATAAAATATTTATCTGAATAATGTAATATAGTATATTTAATAAATTGGCTTTTTAAATTTCATGTTTGTAAATATGTGATTTTAATAGATTTGCTGTTAAAAATATTATTAAAGTATGTTTTTAAATATGTGCACTTAACCTTTTTCAATTTTTTTTCTTTAATTTAGTTAATTTGATAAAATATTTTCATCATTCTGCTATTTCTTTTGATTTTATAAAGCTTTATTGTTGATAGTCAATTTATTGGATCTCTTTCTTAATATTTCTTTCTTAGTATATGTAACGTTGTGGTGTGTTCTCAATAATTGTTGACTATAAATCATTACAGAATATTTCTACTTGAAGTTGTATTTTAAAATCTTGATTATAAGATACAGGGTTTCTATACAAGATTTTCTATATTTTATTCTGAACAAGTAAATGCTTGATGCTGTTGTATATTGACATCCATTCAAAGCTTCAGTTTTATAACCTTATTAAAAGTTCTAAATATGTAATATATGCGGTATGTAAACTATTTTGTAAAATACTACTGCTATGTTATCTCAATGAATAAGTTTTTGAAAAAAAATTAGAAGGAATATGATTTTCATAACAATAGTCTAAAACCATTACTCATTAATTTGATAATTATAAGTGAATTTTTGGGCCAAAATACTTTCATGGTATCCTTAATTTAAGAAACTCTAAATGTCATAGTGGTGATTTTTATTATATCTAAAGATATTAAAAATAATAAATAAGTACTTTCATAAATACCAAAGATGTATAACTAATAATAGAGCTCTAATCAAATAATACTTGTAAATAAGTTTTCCTACTAACAATTTTATATTAATAGCAACGTCCGATATAGTATATTCTAACAGTATGCCCTTATCAGTAAAATTTTCTGATAGTACTTAAAAGCCATTTATATACTTCACTTAACTCCAATTCCTCTTTCATGAGAAAGATTTAAAATTTTAAGATTAAATATTTATACTTACGCCCTAAAAAAATAGTTTTAAGAATCTCTAATTTTAAAATATAAAAAATTCAAATATATTAATAAAGGCTCTTTTGTACTATTTTCATATCTGTAGCAAATGACAGTTTTAAAAATTCTCAGATAATTACCTGCCTTAGCTAACTTCAAATAATGTATTAACACTTTAACTCCAATTTTTTTTTAAATAATAAACCCTAACAAAATAATATAGATCAGACTTAGCTTAGTAAAATGCGAATCTCTTAACCACAACTGAAATGTTTTACTACTTGGGATCTTAACCGGGATGGACTTAGATCAGTAAAATGCTGGTCTCTTAAATTTTTTTTTAAATAAAAACCCTAACAAAATAATCCAAATCAAACTTAGCTTAGTAAAAATCAGATCTCTTAACTACAACTGAAATGCTCTACTACTTGAGATCTCAAATGAGATAGACTTAGACCAGTAAAATGCTAATCTCTTAAACACGGGTAAAAGTTTCTATCACTTGTAATCTTGTAACAATTACAATAAGGTTATAACAAATAAGGTTTTTTTGTATAATATAGTGATAGCAAATAATTCAAGTTAGATAATATAATAGGTCACATTATCACTAATAGTGTTTCTAAAAAATTTGCTATACTATATTTGATCCTAATAAAATTTTCAGAAATGTAGAAACACCAGAGTAAGTTATACTATATTTGATCCAACTCCCAGATTATTGTTAACAAATGTATAATTATTATTCATATCAATCTTTTAACCCAGTTCTTTGGCTGGGTAAATACTTCAAACAAAACTCTTAACTTTAATGCTAACCATCTAGACCTTATATATATTCAATTGTAATTAGACTTCCTATTCAAACTCCAAATTTTCTAATGTTCACATTATCATATACTCAATTCCAACAATCTTTGAACCTAGCCTGTCTATAGACAATCTTCAACAGATTGTTAATTACAATGCAAACTTATCAGAACTCCACTTTTATACTGATAGTTCTGTTATTGCTCTAGAAACTTTACAATGCTTAATGGGTATTAGATGGATCTAAATCTCTAACAACTCTATATTATATACATTTCAAACTCAGACAAAACTTTGGCCTTGCTCATTCAAGTTTAAACTAATTGCTATCCTATTAGCTATTATTACTGTTTCAGAAACTGCAATATAAATATATATACTGATTCTCAATCTGTAATTTCCAAATATCAAAGCCTTATATATTCTTCTACTACTTTATCATATATACATACACTATATTTTTCACTATGAAACACACTTATTAACTTTATCAAGTCCCACAATATTCACATCATATTCCACAAAGTCATTGCTCATCAAGATAACAATTATAACAACCTTGCTGATCAACTCATATGCAACTATTACAACTTGACATACCTTATTTTTATGCCTAATAATATTTACCCTCCTGCTTATTCCTTAACCCTCGAAAACTTCACCATAGAATTACCTACTCACTATAGTATTTGCACAATATGTCATGCCTATATCTATGCATTATAGATAACACAAAACTATTTTCAAAAATAGAACAAGAACTTTAACCAAATTAACTGGCAAGCTACTTGGTTATATATTAATAATAACTAAAAAATCTCAGACTTTTCACACAATTTTTAATCTTCTGCCTTTAAGTCTTTCAGAATTAAAATCTTATTTGATGAATTTCCTACTTCATATATTTTATCCAAATGCTATCTCTTATACCCACCTACATGCCACCAATGCCATCAGATAAGCTCCCACCTTTATTGGATAACTTGTCAATCTGAACAGCTATTATACAATCTTATAGATGACTTGTTATAACACATCCTTAATACAACTACACTTAATATTACTCCTGATAATATAAGCAACCTATATCACCAAATCAAACAACTAGATTGTATGAATATACGTAGCATACTAGATATAACCTCAATTTTTTCAACCTTATCAGGCTTAGTGCCAAATGAACTTATCATCTCTATTTCAAATCTAACAACCCAAAAATAGCTACATCACTGGTTATAAAATTCTTACTTTACCTAAATCAACAAGTTTATTATAAAATCTAGATTTTTTATTGTATCTCAAGATCAACAACTCATCCTTTAACTAACAACTTACTTTCTAATCCTATATTACACCTACATCAACCTCATATTATATCTACATCAACCTCATCCTTTTACTATTATTAGCTCTAAAATATATTCTTGATATATACATTAGATTAAATTTCAAACTAATTTGTTATATATTATTACTAATATCCAAATCTAGATGAGCCTTGGCCACTTCAGTTGGTTTAGATCGCAGATAAACTAGTGTAAGCCTCTATTCTTTCTATAATATTTTAAAAGTAGATTAGTAATTAATATAAAGATCTCAATTAAATATTTAATAAAGTTAGAGATATAGCCTTACTATTAATATTAAAAAATATTAAGTATATATGAATATTTGTGATTAGTTAAAAATTATATATTATAATAAATTAATAGATTTTTAAGATTAAAGAAAATAAGAGCTTTATATCAAGTATTTAACTAAAAAGGTTAAGATTTTTATTTTTTTTTTTTTTTATTTTATTTTATTTTTTTTTAAATTTCAAAGTGACCTCTTGATCAAAGCTTTATTGGTTTATATGCTAAGCTGCTCTAAGTCAGCCGCTACTCATTTGGTACATGATTTTGTAGTGTACAACTAGCCACATGTGCAACTTTTGGTTGCCTATTTAAATAGTTTGCCCAAAGGTTTCCTATACTAGATACCATACTTGCAACCTAACTATGAGATTACTTATTTAAACCCTCTGCACCACTATATTCTCATGAGGACCCAATCTCATACAGGGTAGCAACCCATCTAGGGCATCAACCAGCTAGTTACCTCAAGGTAAACTTACTAGAACTTTTCATACAGAATCTGGCTAGCCTAGATTTTTAGTAACTCGTGCCGAGTCTGAGAACAAGTACTTGCGAGCCAAAGCTGCTACTATTACCTACTCTTGCCCTTATAGAGTTTATCCAAATCTCAGTACACATTTAACAACCTATACTTCCGGTTTTCTGATCTAAGCCCTACTTCCAGTTTTCTAAACATCTAATCCAGATGGCCCAGAAGGGCTGTGATCTGCTCCTGATACTTATAGTTATATTTTTTTCATTTGGTGGCCTAGTTGGTGAAGTGCCTGCCAAAACACTTTGGTCCTGTTCAGGTTCCACTTTTTCTGCTATTCAGTTTCCTCTTTTCAGATTATTAGATAATACTGTCATAGATCTGTGCTACCTCTCTACTTGGGTCTTGCTAAGCAGGCTTCTGTATTCCAATCTGCTGGTTTTACCCAGCAGCTTCACTGTTGTGCAACTCATGCATTACACAATATTTCCACTGCTTCCCAGTATAGCAGTACTGGTGTGATCCTGTTACAGGTTCTGACCCAATAGAATACAGTTTTCTAAATACATTCTGTAAATTCGAATTTCATCGACAGTAGGATTTGAACTCTTGTTCTGCTGCTTGGAGATGCAACAACTTACAAACTACACTAAGTCACTACACCTTATTAAGATTTTTTAATACACTTTTAATAAAATAAATCTATAGTGTTTTATCACCTATATTATATTATCATAAAAACTGGCTAATTAATAGATATGAGGTGTTCTAAGTAAAAATGTTCTATATCCCCATAAACCTTTTTAAACTCTAATCCTAATCTTAATATTAACTTTAATATAAAAAATTTGATGTTAAAAATTTTATATACAAAATTTAAAACATAATAAAAACATATAATAGGTACCATAGATACATTTTATAATAATTGGTTTAATATTTAGTATAATTTTTTTTTTTTTTGAATGTTAATGGTGAGACCATGTCTCTGTCTTTATTAAAATTTAATTTAACTCTCATACAAA